CAACAGGCTCACAAATGTGAGAGTGGAAAAACTGGTTGGCATTCGGGCAAACCTAAGGCTCTCTGAGCCTGGCACAGAGCCATCCTCAACAAGGCTGGACAGTGACACTGAAGAGGAAGACTCAGAGTTGGATGTTGATGAGGCCCAGGAAGAGCCCATTGACTGAAAGGGTTTAGCAAAAATGCAGAGGGTTGCTTGAAGGAAAATGTGCATGTTTAATGGGACTTTTTGGAGGGAGAAGGGCTCTTTTCATTTAACATTTTGAATGGGACTTTGTGGGGATTTTTGGATGGGGGTGCATTTTGGGGTTGGGGGGGATGAGTAATATTTAACTCAACATTCCTGTTTTCATTCTTCAATGAAACAAATAATTGTTCAATAAAATAATAAAAAAATTGTTCTGTTCTACTTACAAAAAATTAAAATAAAAAAAATAAAAAATCTGTTGAAATGTCATGTTTTTTGTTTAATTTTGCATCGAATATTTCCAAAAATTTACCAGAAAATTCTCCGCCCCTTTGCAACCCTACTTGTATTCACGGGTCAGTGTGTGTGTGTGTGTGTGTGTGTGTGTGTGTGGTGTGTGTGTGTGTGTGTGTCCATCCTTACCTCCCCACATCGCGATGCCGCCAGCTTTGTGAGTTCACTCTGCAGATTCAGGAGGTTTTCGTTTGACAGACCTTTGGCATTATGCAGCTCCAGTTCTGGAGGCCTGTTGGTGCCACCAGACATCAGTTAGTAAGAGCGAAACACTGAGAAGACATGAACAAGTCCACACTGGAGCTTTGTTCTGATGAGACAGTTGTCCTGGAAAGTTAAAAGGTCACAGTTTTTAAATATGTAATTAACAACATATCCATTAACTATTACTAACCATTATGAGGTTATTTCTTAAAGACTATGATTTAGAAGAACATAATGCTTTATGTCTCAGCATGTGGACACACAATAAATAAGTTTCGCATTGCAAATGATACATGACCTGAGGACAGAATCATTAAAACAGCATTGTGAGACTTGTCTCAGTTTGTGTGTTGATACCATGGTTGATACCTTGCAGTGCAGCGGCAAAAATGACCAAAGTGGAGACATGGCAAATGTCAGGGGTCAGTACTCACGCATCTGGGTATGTGGGTGGGCATTGAACCTGCAAGTCCACAGTCACGTAGCATTCCTGTCCATTATTCAGCCCGTTTGGCCGCAGGCAGAGATGCACCTGAGGGGGCCTTTTAACCTGAGAATACAGTGAAGGAATCCTTGTTAATGGGGTGACCATGTTTGATCGCTTCAAGTAAAAGTAGTTCCGTTTCAACTTTTGCCAATCATCTGCTTTAAAAGGCAATGCATTCTGCTAACTACCGTCTGTAGCTACCTTCCATGGGTCCTTGCTCCGCAGATCCTGGAAATCATCTCCAAAGATAGACGCGAGAGCTTCTAGCTCATTTTCCTGCTGGACCGTGTGGTCGTCAGTCCAGTCTGCTGGAGTGTGCTGCTGACTGCTCATTCTTCTTCCTCACTACATGGCACTGCTCGGTCACACTCACACACAGACAGAAGGAGGAAGAGGCTCTTCCGCTGCACTCACCGCCGCCCTGTGCAGCTCCGGCACATTGTTCAGTCCAAACTTTGGCGGATAAGCACCTCAATTTTATTCAGTAAAATCGCTAACTAATCACGAGATAGGCGACCACAACAACGCTGCCAACTGGCGCATGGCTGTTGCAGGCTGTGTCGCAGAAGGTGCAACGTCATCACTTTGCTCCCTCGAAAAAGATGGCCTCGAGAGGGCGGTAATCATCCTTAACTGATGCTTGGAACTGAATTTTTGTTTTTCAAAATTAACATGTTCATGTCCTGTTTTTAGGTGTATTTCCCACTATTAGTCCACTGTGCTACTGTACAATCTTGCTGTTGCATAGCCTGCCCCCTCCTCACCTAGTTTACTTTCCGCCTCGTTCACTTTTACGTTTACTAGTTATTTCCTATAAAAAAATGCTAAGAAAACCCTTCTGATGGGCCTGCAGAGCTGGCCAGACTTGACGTTGAGATATTTAAGTAAAGTAAAAGTGCCTCAAATACATAATTCAGCACAAAATGTAATTGTACTAAATGTACTTTGTAAATGTACCACAAATAACAACTTTAAAGATAAGATATACAGGAGGACAGCAGAGTGGGTAGGTCAAAGGTCAAGTGTGATAGGCTATTGACTTTTACCTATGGCTATCAAAGTTGAAAGCTAAACTGTCAATGTGATATTTAACAATGTTGGAAGATACCGAAAACGTATCTGCAGCTATAGGCTCCAAAAAGGGATTTATACGATTTTTGTTTTAAATCAAACCCCTTAATGTCATTACAGGTGGCACTGCAGGGATTAAGAATACTTCCAAGTTTGGGGACTCAGGAGAAATATTTCCAAGTTGATGCAGCAGAGACTGAATATCCTATACTGTCAAAAAACACAGTGCACTCTTCACAGTGCAACACCTTTTTAAAACCCAAGCCTCTGGTTTGTAATGCTGGTTTTCTGTTATGAAGCTTTCAAGCTTTGTGCGGCAGTTTCCATTAGATATTGCATTCAACATTTAAAAATACCCTTAATATATTACTCAAAATGTACGAGTACTCATTGTCCCTCTCTTTTTCTTGGTATAAAACCCTCATAGTAAATCAAATCTCCTTTTGTCATGTTTTAAAATAAAAATGAGTCCAATCAATGAAAGTCCCTTCCTTCTTTACATAAAAAAACCATGAGATGCTTTATCCAGCTTCTATCTATGGAGATAGAGAGGAGACAGAGCTATAGGCTATGGTCTTTTGAATACCTCCAGCTGTGATATATCCTCAAGTGTTATACACTTGCCTTAACATCTTGTTATCATTGAAAACACATTAGGGGGATTCCCTGACCATTTATGTCATTTTATTGGGAATTAACAAATATTCTGTCAAATGTTTGTATCATTCCTGCATAGATGAGAATATTACCTCATAAGGTACACTGTACATCAAGGGAAATATAGGGGAAAGTGGGTGGCACAAATATGGACCTCCTCTTTCCAGACGCCTGGCTAGGAAACCTCAGTGGCTGCACATTAATGACTCTGTTGCTCACCCTAACCCTAAAAGGAGACAGCTGGCCCAATCAGCTCCGAGCACTGACAGCGACAGGCCACTCAGACGGTGAGATCCCACACAGAGCCTGGCTGGCGTTAAGATCAGCTGTTCCACAAGACGAGGAAGCTCAGTGAGCACACATACCAGCAGCATGGTTCACAGACATGTAATGTTTTCATCTCCTTAACAAGGCACCAGTGATGCTGTCCTGACTGGGTCATCATAGTGTGCCTTCTGAGTATAATAATCCCTCTCTAGAGTTGTGCAGAGTGACACATTATGCATCAAAGTAACACAAAACACAATTTTTAAAACTCTGATTGCAAGTCACTTACAGTATGCTACATTTCACTTGTGATTACAAACCTATAAAGAAATAATACTGCAACACAAAAATGAATTGCTTCAAGGCAAAACATTGCATTTATAAGCTCATGAAATACACTTCTTATCCTAGAAATAATTTACTCTTTATGTTCCTTTGAGAAAACAAATGCATTCATCATTCATTAACCCCTCGTATCCAATAATACAATTAATATACCAATTAATCAAACTTTTATACTATACTTAATAAACATTTGATTAAGAAACTGGGTCAGTCAATGACATCACTGCACAGAAGTCCCATCCATGTATGTAAAACATACTTTCCTGTGGCTTGTTGATTTTTGCCAGCAGCTCTTATTTGGACTTATGTGAACCCCAGGCCCCGCCCCTGGTCCCTCGACCCAGTCTAGGTCTTATTTAAGGGGCTCTTCTCACCCTCAGCCTTTGTCCCAGTGGAAGCATCCGTCTACCAGTGCACCTTGGTGAGTACATTTTACAACTTATCCTCTGATTCTCTGTCCTTTGATAGATTACTTCCTTATGGTTGTGCTTTGAGCTGATCATCCCTAAATGAATGAATTGATGATGTAACTTCAGCTCAATAAAGGTTTTCCTCACGTTGTAACTGACGTGTAAAACTGGAGTAACTGGTTATTCAAGGCTGACTTCTTCGGGTTGTTGAAATTAATATAATTACGTATAGTGGTTTTCCACAGCTCTGGAACGTTTCTGTGTTGCCAGAGCTACAATTATAACTTGGATTTGTACACAAAACCTGAGGGGAAGCTGGCCAAATCTAGCTATGCTCCAATGAATGAAATTAATAGGCAGCTGGGGCATGGAGCCATGTAGTAAAACAAAAGTCTCACGGTGTGCAGACAGATGGGTGCTGGCCCGACTCTAAAACCTGAAATAGCAGGCGATCCATGTGTCACTTGTTTCACCCTGTTAACCACAGTGTCGCTGCTTCTGAGCTTAAAATAGCTCCAGGTTTCTCTGTTATGCCCCTTTTTGGTGCTACCTCAGCAGCTCTGAGATTCCCCAGGAACAATCACGGCTGTGTTGATATGGTATCAGTGTTTGAATGACAAGGTTGAGACCAAAATAGCATCCAAAGGCATGTCTAATTAGCTTTCTATATATAGCTCCCATTGAGGTGGGTTGTATTGAAGTGATAATAACTGTTGAATAGTTATGAGAGCATTGGCAGGTCTTCAAAGGCGTCCTGGATCACAGCTAATACATATATTAATACAATTAGTCTGTGGTGCAGACACTTCATCACATCATCAGCCAAAAGTGATAAAGTGTTTGTGGTTGTTCAATTATAACAGGCATTGGTGCTATGTGTTCTATGATGGGCAGTTTAGACAGCTGTCGCTTACAACCATCCTAAACCCTCCTGTGCTGTTTATCTATGATGAGCAGTTTAGACAGTTGTTCCTAACACCCATCCTAAACCTCCTTGTGCTATGATTTCTAAGATGACCAGTTTAGACAGCTGTTCCGACACCCACGCTAAGCCTCCTTGTGTTTCTACTCTACCATTC